CACTTTTTGTTTTTTGCCTAGGCCAAGGATATTGGGGGGAAATGTGGAATATAAGAGTAAAGGATAAATCAGTGTCTAAGGTACCATGCTCTGCTTTGAGACAATTAGGTTCCAAAACAAATTAGTAGCAGGCCACTAATATGACCTAGAATCCTGTACCAATCCAAGACATAAGACACGAGATGCAAAAACACTGCAGTAGACTAATTCTACTGTGCATTAGTACATCATGGTGGAAGTCATGGTAATGTGCTAGTTAGCATACTGATCATTAGCATCATGTAAAAGACATACACCAGCACTACCGCATAGTAGCACTGATCACAGTGCATTAAGTTAGTACCTGTTATTAACAGTGGGTGCATCTACACATGCACTTTAGTGCTCATTAGCCTATTTTAATGCATATTAAATCATCACTTAAAAAACCACGGTGCACCTATACATGAGCATTGAGGCTGCTCCAACACACTGGAATTCCAACACATTTGGATTGTCATGGCGCAGGGTCCCTCTCTGGTGCTCAGGGGCAGTACACCCCCAATGCTGCACCCTCTCTGGCACTCAGGGGCCCCCCACTGCCATGGTCCCCTATGAGGCCTCCTCTTTCCCCCAATAGCCTCACCCAAGCCACCAGTCTTAAACAGCAAACAAAACACAAGCCCCTGGGCTATAACAGAAATTCAAGCCACCCCAAGGGTGCTCCATTCCTCACCAATATCAGGAACTACTCAGGCCTCTACTTGCTCTTTCCCCCTTGGCTACCAGCAGGCAACTGCAAGCCTACCCTCAGCCCTGGGGTTTATATGTGGGCCAGGCCCTGCCCCTTCTGGTAAGCTGACCCCTGGCAGGTGTGGGCCACTAGCTCCCTCTGGTTGCCCTGCTAACCAGGAGCTGGGGCTCCTCACTCACCTGCTAGGGCTTTTTCCCTAGCAGTTTCCCCTCTTTAAAGGAGCAGGGCACTTAAGTGCTCTGCGACATGGATCAAAATTGATTAATTAAGTCTGCTGGAGCATGGCAGTTAAAGCACTGCTGCATCTCATGTACCATAATCCCCGCACCTAAAAATGGTGGTGGGGGTCCTTGAGCTAAAGCTCATTGAACAAACTTAATTCAAGCACTCCCACCAATATTTTTAAGTGTGAGGATGCTGATACATGAGGCGCAGCTGCATTTTAATTAGAGAGTTTCTCAGAGTCACTCTAATTAAAGCACTGCCTTCCCCTCGCCCCCCCCATCACCACCCCTGGAGCACATGTGAAAGTGCCCATAGGTAATTTAATGTGCATTCATTAAAATATATTAATACACATGTAGACATGCTCTCGGGTACTAAACTTAATACATTGTAATTATGGAGCATTAATGCACATGTAGATGTGCCCATAGCATCCATGGTTACTCCCATAGTATGGAATTTGAAGGTAACAGTGTTTCAGGCACAAGGAATACTCACGCTGATGAAATTAGCCAATTCAGTTTTTTACATTGCCAGGTCTTTGCATTGCTTAGAGAACTAGAGCTGTTAAAATACTTACAATAGTGTTAATTCTAACACATGCTATAGATACAGATTTTGATTTCTGAATCTTTCATGACTCATTCTTGCTTTCTGCAAATAGCTTGGAAATATATTATTTAAACTAGCTTCTATTTACTGTTGGCTTATAGGTCTTGGAATATGTGATACCATCCCACCTATATAACTTTTTATTTTGATCCTAAAGTAATGCATCTCTCTCAAATTAATTGAGGGATCCATACAAACAGACACCAAAGCTGTCAGGTTAGTTATGCATAGGTGGTGATAGAGATCAAACAGAGGTCAGTTAGCTAAGGAAAATAAATGCCTCTTACATTTGAGGTACAAGAGGATTTTCATCAGTATGACAACTTTAATTAGCCATAGTTTTAACTTAAGTCTAGTTCTTGATCTAACAGATCGTCTTTAAACATTCCAAATATAAACAAACCTAATTCCCCCAAGAATCTTCCCCTTAGGCATTTTTCTGTCAGTAGTAAGCTGGTAGCATACCGCAAATAAACGTTTTAACAATCTTTGTGCTTAATTAACCACCATCATGGCCAATTTGTTTGTGTTTGGATGTACAAACTACTATAATACCTCTCCTCTTCTCTACAAGCCCAAGCATAAACCATGTATTTAGCTCTTCAAAACAAATTAATATAATCACAATCATCAGACTGTAATGTAACTTGGCACAATTTTAGCCAGTTATGAAATAAAGGACCCTTCAAGCCAATGAACCTTCATATTATTGTACTAGCAATTCCAAACACATTTGAAAAACTAAATTAGAATCCACCACCATTGTTGTTTAACTACTTGTTACAAAATACTATTAATTCTGATACCAATTTTACTTCTACCTTTATGTCAGGAGACAATTTATATCATTCAGACATCTAAATGCTGCAGAGCAAGACACATAAATAATAACAATTACCAACATCAAAATGATTTTAGGTTTATTTCTAAACTTCTTAGTTTATACAAGTTGAATACCTAGACTGTAAAATCTGTTTCCTCACAGAGAAGGTAGTATAATAAAATGCCCTAAAAAGCTAATTTATTAGCCATGCCAAGCATGATTTGATGTAGATGCTTAATGACTATAATTATAACACCAGCAAGGACTGACTGGTAAGAGAACCATTCTAGTAAGGAAAAAACAAGGTAAAGCTGCTATCGTTTATAAACATCAGCACATTTAGGGTATGTACAAGTGTTACTTTTAGATTGTCCTACCTAAGTTAGGGAGATCTAAATGCCCTGGTGTGCAAGCATTCACAGGTCTTAGGTCACCCTAAAAAAGGTGCACCTGATCTAAAGATGGTTTACCTCAGAGGTGAACTAACTTTAGATTGGACTGTAGCTAACCCAATCTAGCAAGGGTTAACCAAGTCTAATGAATGCCTACAAAGCCCCAGAGCTGGGAAAGCCCAGTCACTCACCAAAGGTCAAGGACTGTGCTGTTCCCAGGTCCATGACCCTGATGAGGCTATTCCCATCCCCTCTCCCAATACCCCCACCCAGAAAGTGCAGCCCACCCCCCCGCAACAGACCTGCCAGCTCTTCCTCCTCCCAATTTATTTATCTACTTACACTAAGCCACTTTAATCTGAGCTTGGGCACATGAACATTTGTTTGCACCTTTAGTGTACTGAAAGAGATGTTGCATTTCTGTTACTTCTCCCTCTGCTTGTCTCTTTCCATGCCTTTCTTTCTTCCCTATGCCTCTTTTAGAAAGATTTAAAGGTGGTAAGAGTGTCGTAACACAGATGCCCGCCCCCCATCAAACTCATTTATATCAATTTCTGTTTTGCTTCATTAAGGACTTCATGATTAACTCTTATAACAATGTTAATTCTAAAGGATAAGCATTATTGTAGTTGCAAAATGCAGACCCAAATTCAGCTCATCTCATAATCTTAAGGCCAGAAAAACAAGGAATAAAGTCTTTGACACTGATCCAGAGCCCAGTAAAGTCCATGGAAGTCTTTTCATTAACTTCTCTAATGCTGTTACAATGGGAGATAGTGGGTGTTAAGCATTTTGACCAATTTAGACACCTTCCTGAAGTGCCTAAATGAAAGCTAAATATTTTTAAACACTCAGCGCTAAGATCTGTAACACTTCCGTTATAACAGTTTGAGAAGAAGTACCTCACTAGAGAAACATTGGAAAATGGAACAGAAGAGATTAAACAGGTTAATAATGAATAAATGTATTAAGTTTAAAAAATATATGCATTGGTGATACTGTTGTGAACCCCAGTGATCTATGGTTGGATAAACTCATCTATAGTGAAGGCTAGGAGACTGGTAAGAGATAGTTCAGTTCTGACATAATCACCTCCATAACTAAGGTTAGTGTCTCGTATAGATGGGTTTATGTGCATGTAGTCAAGTTAGAGAAACTAATCACTTCAGTCCAGATTCACAAAATGATGTTAGTGTCTAAGGTGGGACTTAGGTGGAATTTAGGTATGCAAGTCCAAGTGTAAAGGCCTCAAAAACACCCGCTGCCCCTTAGGTTCCAAACACACTTGTTGCCAGTAAAATGTCTTGGGGTCCTAAGTTTTGCTTCAGAATGCCACCATCATGAATGAGCTAAGCTTTTTGGTACCTATCTCTAGCTAAGTCTTACTGGGATCCAGAAAAACAAGAGTTCCTTTGCCTAAATTCCCTGAGAAGTATAATATGGTAGACAGGTACTTAGGGGAATGGAGACTTGGGTGTCAATTCCTGATGCAAGGACTGTGTACTCTCTTTTTTTTTTCTGGGGCATCCACCCCTTCTCTGCTTCTCACAGCTTCTCCCTTCCCTGCACCTCTATTGCTTCTCTGGATGATCCTTTTCAAGCCCACTTACATGCTCCAGAGACTCCCAGCTCTCTTCCTTCCTCCAGCCTTCTTTAGCACATTGCACTGACCTTCAGAAGCTCCTCGACTCCATAGTTCTCTCTCCACTCTCCCTGTTGGAGGAGACACCTCTCACTCCTGTCTCTGCCTCCACCTCTGCACCACGCGTTCCCATGCCAGGTCCTTTTATATGCAGGGAGCAGCTGCTCCTGAACTGCCACTCTCCCAGCTCAATTTCTTTTTCAGCTCTTTCACAAACCATGACCCACATTTCCACACAGAGGACATGCTTGGGTGGGATGGGCTTCATCTCTCCCCAAAAGGTGTTTTTTCTTCCAGGCTGGCTGATCTCATACGATGAGCTTTAAACTAGGTTCTCTGGGAGACGGGGATGCAAAGGAAGATGAGGACACTTTGCCGTCAAGCCAGGGGATGCACCCAGGTAGTACCCAAGTAAGTGATGGGCCAGGGCAGGCACGGGCACCTACAGGAGGCCTCAAACAAGGGGGCAGCATGGGCACCTACAGGAGGCCTCAAATGCCTCTACGCAAATGCTCGAAGCATGGGGAAAAAGCAGGAGGAACTCACCCTCCTGCTAGCTAGCAAAAACCCAGACTGAGTGGGGCTCATGGAAACCTGGTGGGATTCTACCCATGACTGGGCAATTGGCATAGGCTGTACAGGCAAGACAGAGCAGGGAAAAAAGGGAGTTAAGCTTTGAACAACCCCTGAGTCTAGGAAAGATTTGAGGATGTTTTCCATAGCTGGACTCCTCCCAAGCATGGAAGGAGTCTATCTGAAGCTTCCAGGCTTCCCCAGACTGAACTCAACCCTGTCCAGCATGGGGATTAGAGGAAAGGAAGATTTTCAGTCTGGAATGCCTGTAGGTTCCTTTTCCTGGAAAGAATTTTACTGCTACCAATTTCCCACAAATATGTAGTGTTAAAAATGCACATCTGTCCATGGCCTCTCCAACATACAGCAACCAAAAAAGTTATGCATGCTATACTGAGCACTACACCACCTAAGTGCCTTTATAACGACATCCCAACAAGTGCAGGTGTGTGCTATGTGGTGCCGCAGACCCATCTGCAGTGCCACACACTGCATACGCAGGTGTCCCTCACACAGCTACCTTGCAGCATGGCGGGGGGGCGGATGGCTGGAGCCTGGGATCTCCGGGTCAAAAAAACCCACAACATTAAAAGCAGGGCAGCACACATGAGAGCAGAGCGTGCAACCCAGAACTATAGCCTGGCCAGCTGGAGCCATGTTCCAGCTGCTGGCCAGGCTTCCAACTGTTCCTGAAGTTCCAGGAGGCCCCAAGAACTCCAGGTAAGGCTGTTGGGGCCAGCACAGTTGCTGGCCTCAACCTCC